AGTTTTCTAATATAAATAGTTTTTTTAAATGAGTAACACACATAGGGAGGAGTGGTCCTGCTTATATTTCACTTTCCACCACCTTAGTGCGGGGAGGAGCTCAGTCAGTAGGAGTCCCATGATGGTGGCCCCTGTGCCAAGTTAGAGGGAAGCAGCAGAAGCGTGGATGTGAGCTAAAGGGTCAGAGTGCTGCATTTTGCTTACAGCAAATGATGAGCCCCTTTAAAAAATGGGAGAATATACCAATGTCAGTTGTTAATCATTGACTCATGGGCAGTGCTGAACAGAGGTGCTGTGTCTACCAGTAACATGCTGGGTGGTACAGAGTGGTGGAACCCTCAGACAGTGAAGAAATGATCATACCTTGATCCTGATAAGAACACTTCAATTGGGAAGAGCTGGTTTGGGTTCTAGCTCTTAAGGAAAGTCATCTCAGCTAGGAGAGGCAGAAATGAAGAGGGTCACTAATGCATGCTTACTAAATAACAGTTTGTGTCAAGCGACACTGGTGGTAACTCAGGCACCTGCTTGGGTATCAGTTGGGATGAAATTCAGAGAGCAGTGGGATTCGGGAGGTCAAGTCTCCTGGGAACAGCAGGTATGGGAGCTCTGCCACCAACACTGTCCCTTTGCAGGGACATTTCTGTGAGTTGGACACTTTGGTTCTGCCTCCTGTACTAGCTGAACTTAAAAGAACTTACTGCTCTCATAATTTTGCATGTATAAATTGTTCAAAACTATCCAACTAGAATCCTTTTCCAGAGTTCCCAGGGGTAGTGATAACACTGCCCTAAATTACCAGTATGAAACTTACTATCTCTGTTATACTTAAGCTTTCATGGAAAACATGAACCACAGGCGTGGGGTGGGGGAGAGGACGTGTGTGTCTGTGTGTGCACTGAGAAACGTAGCTGTCCCTGTTTTGGTGCAGCAGTTCAGCCCACTTCCAGGGGATTTGCAAATATTTGACCTATCTGAATTTAGCCTACTGAATCCTGTATCGAATCTCTCTTTGCTTAATGTGCTCCATTTCCACAGTGCTCCTGAGTATTGGGAGAAAGCAGGTAACATTCACAGTCAGCGGACCTGCTCTGGGACTCCGGGTCTGGGCAGCCTGTCCTGCAGCAACATCTCCTGGAGACTGGAAACATTTGGGGTGCACGGTACCAGAGCCTGAGAACAAGACACCCCTCTGTAGATCCAGCACTCACAAGAGTAAACTCACTCTCCTTTTGTTACTCAGAGCAGCCATCTGGTTAGAAATGAAGCAGTTTGGAAATATTTGGGCACGGAGAAGCTGGGATAGGAGTTAGGAGAAGAGAAGAAACAACAGAGCTGGTTCACTCTTCTGAGTCATGTTGAGTTGGAGTCCTGCTCTTGTATGTTCCGCTGCAGCCCAGTGACCCACAGGTGATTTGACTAGAGTGACCACTTACTCATCTGTGCAGTGTGGTGTGCTAACCTACTTTAAAACCCTTGATTCCAGGCGAGTCCCCCTCTGCAGACCTAGCACTAGGCTTTGTTCAACGTCTGCCTCATTTGCCTTTCCCAGAGTAACTCTTTAGTGGAATAATTACTGTACAAAAGCCAAAGCCCAGCAAACTGCTCTGCATTCCAGTTCCACAGGAAGTAAAATCTGAGCTTGCCAAGAGTGCTCGCTCATCCGCGGCCACTCGGCATCCGAAATTCCCGCTCCTGTTAGCGGGGCTTTACGTAACAGGAGCATGCTGGGCCTCTGACTTCTGTTTTTTATGCAGAAAACTAGAAATGAATGTGATGTGGCAGGAAGCAGCTTGTATGAAAGGCATAGAGATTGAAAGATGACAGTAATATGTTTTCAATACTAAGTTAAAGCAATGAAATACTCGCTTGAACAGCAACTCTGGGGTCCCTGAGGCTGAGTTTAAAAGGTATAAATGAAGTAAACCTCAAAAATTGCATGGTCAATTGGCTGCATAAGCTTAAATTACCCAAACAGCTGGTTTAAAAACTGGCCTCTTAATAGAGAGTCAAAGTATTGGGGCAGCTGCCTTTCTGTTTTGAGAACACGACAGTAAAAACAATAGGGTTACAATAGTGACCTCCTCCTACAAGGAGGTGAGCAGTTAAGATTTGAGCCATTCTGCTGGAGTCCCTAGTGCAGCACCAGCCCTGACCCTGAGCCTGTGCTTCAGGTCAAGTTTATTAGTGCTCCTGCCTCCAGTCCTGGCCCTGCCTCCTGGATAGGTCCTGGGCCTGTGTTGTAGCCTTATCTCCAACTCCATCTCCTTTTGCTATTGACTGGACCCTCTGCATAGATACTGGACCCAGTTTATATCCCTTTTGCTTCACTAGTGACTGCCCATGTGCCAGCACCCAGCTCTGCCTGTCATGTTCCCATGCTGCGAGATTTTGGCATGTTGGTGAGGGGGCTGTTTGCACTGTGGTCACCTCCACTCTTGCCTCCCATCCTCTCATGGAGCAGCACTGCTGCTACTGCTCCTACTTTTTACTGGCCTTCAGTAGGCATTTCCTTGCTGCTGAATTGCAGATGATGCTGGTGCTGGGAGGTACCAAGCAGCTGGCACGTAGCAATACATGCCAACTGTGCAGTCATGTGCCTGCTGAGCTCTCCTGTGCTTCACCAGACTACAGAAGCTGATGGAAACCAACTTCATCCTGAGCAGGACTGTGCCATTTATGCATCTCAAGGGGTATCAAAACTTCTGAAGTGGCTGTGCATATACTGAGACTGAGCTGATTGCCCGCATGTTTCCTGACCTCTCTTTCAAGGTCGTCTCTTTTTCCTGTGTACTGGGGGCATTGATTGCTTCTTGGGATGAGATCAGACTTTTGTTTAACAAATTTCCTGTTGTTGTAGGGACTAGAGCAGGAACAACGCTCAGTTTCGTCAGTGTTCTTCCTACAGTGTGCTACCAGGCTCTGGGGCTCTTGCTGCAGCTCTGAACCTTGCCAATGTTTTTTGAGAAGTGTTTTACAGCCTGGGGTGATATTTGGAGCCCTTCAGAGCTCAACAGCTATAGTGCAGATATCTTAGACTGGAGCAAACAGAACTCTTGAGCAAGATGATGTAAGGAGGAAACTTCTTTTTTCCCCTGTATACCAGGTGTGAATGATGCTTGATCGCTGATGGGTAGGGTTGGGACTGTTGTGATCTCCCCTGCTAGAATGCAAAAAGACAGTTCCTGCGTACTTTTTCTGGTATGAACAACCTAAAACAAAATAAAGGAAATAAAAATCCTAGCCAAGCAATAAATCAGGACAGACTGGGATCCTGCCTCCCCTGCTGCTGCAGTGGAGGATGAGGTTGGTGGTGTGGGTGCTGAAGAGCAGGCTGTGCTTTACTAAAATTTGGCGTTGTGTGCATGTTCCCTTCTATCCTTCCCTCATCCTGGCTGGCCCTAAATGGCTCTGACCCAGAGGGTGAAACCTCCCCTGGTAGAGCCCACCTGAGCATTGGTACCTCCATGCTTATCATGTATCAAAGACAGGCTAACCTGACCTGAAGCAGAACCTGCAGCTCCAGCAGCACTGTAATGACTGGAAACAACCAAACACTATCTAAAAGCAAGCCTGTGTTTTGAAAGGAATATATAGTAAAGTCTTGCTAAAAATCAGCGAATTCTGAACTGGGGTGTGGGATGGTCCTTTCTAAAGATGAACTAGAAATGGGAGAGGGAGGGAAACTGTGTGCCTGTCTATAGCATTAGAATCAAGATACAAAAAAGGTGGAGGGGAATTGTGCAATAATTAATCTACCAGGACGCTATAGATCTCATTTCACTGTGCTACAGTAATAACTAAATGAAAATCCAGATCATGGCTGAGCACATGAAGAAATAAACAGTTCCTGTGTATTTCAGAGAAGGATGAATTTCACGTTGCTGTGGTTCCCAGTGGTTCCTCAGTTTGCTTGGGAGATGGTTGTTATCAGGATAGTGCATTCTTTAGAGATGAACTAAACTTGTTTTTGTTTTGAAGTTGCATACTTCTATCATCATCAACACCCGAAGCAAGACACTTTGTAAACTTTTCTTGTATTACAGCTTTATAATGACAAACCCAGGCTAAAACAGATGTATGAAATTTAGAAGGTCATGAAGTACTGCCCATATCTTTTGGGGTGTATTTTCTGGTTCCTCTGAAAGGATCTTTAACTCAATGCTGCAGAATTCTGGTACCTCCAGAACTGCCTCATCTGAGAGATCACTTAAAAACTATGGCTCTCTAGGGAAGAGAAGTATCTTATACACTTCTAGTGCTGTTTGTTATTATGAAAGCTAATGGGAAAATCAGGTTTGGAAAAAATATTATGTAGATTTGTGCTACTAGAAATCCAGCATTTTTATAAGGAATTTTAATCCTTTCTGCTATGGATCTGCTGTCCTTTTCTGTGTGCTTGCTGTGGGCTCTGTCTGTATGGAGGCTGTGGAAATTATGTGAAAATCCAAGCAGGGCTTTTGTCCTTTCTGCTGGCCTGACCAGCAAAGTACAGCAAAGACTCACACAGGCTATTGATCATCTTTAGATCAGATTTCAAAATCATGTGTAGAGAATTTAATAGAATGAGTTTCATAAATGTCATGATATAAAAGCAATCTTTCATAAATTTTATAATCTTTTGTTGTTGTTGATATTGTTTAAAAATTGTAAATGAAAATATTTCCTAACACATTTATATGCTTCACACTGCATTTGCTTCTGTCTAGGGCATATTTCTGATTGCCTGCACTTGTGTGTGCATTCATCACCACGACAGCTGAGGTTTTTGGGGGACCAGTCTGTTTCAGCAAACTCAACCAGGTAGGAAAGGAAGAATCTGCGAATATCACTGCAACTCTCACATGTGAAGGGATTAAATTCATTTAACCTTTTAAGAGAAAGGCTTAGGCTTTCTCCCATGGATTCTTCTTAAATGGATCATTTATCTTGCTTCTGCACTGTATGCTTCAAAACCTAGGAAGAATTAGGAAATAATTCCTTTTATTCTTTTTTTTTAGCTGTGGCAAGACTTGAGCATTTGTGACCATTTTACCTCTTCCTCCCACATGACACACACATCTGAGGCTTTGGGGACAACAAAACTGTAAGAAAAAGGTATGCTCACTGTAACTTGATTAGCAAGTCAGTTGCTGTGTGTCTGTAGTGCTAGTGAAGGATCTGTGTGCCAGTTTGTCTTCATAGTCAGTAACACTTTGCAGGAATACTCTCATTTATTCAGACTGCTTACGTACCTCTGGCACAGACACTTTCTTTAACCAGCAGATCTTGAAATCTATTTCACAACCACTCTTTTCTCTTATATGTGTTGCTTGCCAACCATAATTAATGGACTGAATTTTATAGGCAATGCATGAGCATGTTCTCTCTCTATATATGCCCTAATTCTGGCAAAAGTTGCATTGCCCAGGCCTCCCTATGAACTGTATTTCTGTATAAAATCCTAGCATGCGTGTGTGTACTGAGATGGCTGTTGGAAACTTATCTTTAAAGCTTTATTGCAAGCCAGAATATTCTGAAACTTGGCATACTGCTTTTGGAGTGGGTGCAGTTCATTTAGTTAAATCTGGGTCTGTCTCCTGCTCTCTTTTTATAGCCCAGGTTCCTCAGGGTAGAGGGAAGTACCTAATTGCAAATCTGTCTTGCCAAGTGCTTGGCAACTAGAGCTTCCCCCCACAATGGAGTTTGTCTCTAAAGCAGATAACGTCCATTTGGAATAACCTGATGTTTTAGGCTAAAAAAGGGCAGAGTTTTGAAGAATGATTTAGAGATTAAACCCAAGTATGTGTAACACACTGATTTGTTTCCAGACCCTGTGGATAAAATACTCTTTTAACATGTCACTACTTGAAAAGAGTGTCCTGTAGCAACCTTAACTCTATATTTTTTACTTTCTCTTGCATTCCATCCTTTCCCACTGTTGGTTTAATATGGCATTATAGGATATTTGGGTCAACAATCAGATTATGAAAATATTTTGTACCTATTTAGCACACAAATACCTATTTCATTTTCAAGAAATGTATGTGCTTTATTTGAATCAGGTAGAGTGCTCGAGTTTGAGAGGTACTTTTATGGCTTTGTGTACGTTACAGAGGTCTGGCATGTGGGTCAGGGTTTGCAGTATGTGCATACCAAGGAGCCCCTATCAGCAAAGCAGAGGTACCAGCAGAATTCAGGGCCTGCGGTTGCTGCTAGTCAGTCCTGTAAATCTGCAGTACTGCAGAGTCAGCACAGGCCCCACTCGGGCAGAAACCTAAACATCTGTTTAACTTTAGGCATGTGCTTTAAGCTTCTCTCACATGACCTGCTAAGTAAAGGGGGGGTGGGTTTGTTTGTAATCACTGTACTGAGTGCTTTACTTCATAAGGTTGTGCTGTCGAAGCACTTTTCAAGCAGGATGGAGTTTGTTCCTTACCTTCAGACTGTCTTTTCATAGTGTGGCAAGACATAGGCATGCAGCCCTAAAATTTCTCTCTTCCTTTTCTTTCTCTTTTCTGTCTCTCCATATGTTAGGTTTGCAGAGCAGGGGGAACCTTGGGTGCCCCAGCCTAAAAGAGAGCTGTAGCTTGTTCATTTGAGTCTCCAATCTGGACAATCAAGAGATGGGGACTGCAGGGCTGCTGCGTGCACACCTGCCCCAGCATACAAATAGCCTATAAAATACTCCGAGTGTTCTCATTTCATATTGAGGTAGGGTGGTGTGCTCAGGAATACTTCCATGAGTAGGCTGACCAGTATTCCTGCAATTATCTGTGGAGTCTGGCTGTGAAAACTTGCAGTGGGCTTGCTCCTTCTACTCCTCCAAGCTATGAAAACAAATTGCTCTTCCTTTTGGACTGAATTCCCTTCCCATTTCATTCTGTTGCTGCTCCTCCTGTGTGTTTCTCTCTCATCTATTTTCTTCTGGGTTTTGCCTGTCCAGACTCTTCCTGTATTCATGCTGATCATTAGCTGGAATAGTCTGTGTAGAAATATTCTATATATTATTTATAATAAAGGTCTGAATTAAAACCTCAGTTGTCCCAGCAGGGTTATAGGGAACCTTTTGAGAAGAACTATGGCTGAATATGTTTGGAGAGGATGACATTCTTGCTCTGACACTGATGTGATACCTGAAAAACTACTGACAAAATAGCGCTAGTCTGTTGAACACTTTTGGTTGAGCTCTGTTCTCCCAGACAGTGGAAACTGTTGCTTTGTTCCACTCAAATGATAGAACTCAATTTGAAGGCCTCTTCTGACTCTTTGGTCACTAGCAAGTTTGGAAAAGTTAAATATCCCTCCTGTGCTTAGGTCTGGTATACTTAATTATGCATTATCTATTTGATAAACTCATTTTTGGGAAGATGAATGTAGAAGTGAAAGGAAGGGTACAGGGAGGAAACATCTTTTGCTTATTGCCGTTAGAAAGACTTCATTCTGAACCAAGGGAAATATGACTTAACAGCAAATGGCATGTTTCTGTGAACAGACCAACAGGAAGATCTCCCTCTATCTGTGTGGGGGATGTTAATGATTCATTACAGCCTGTTTGATGGGAGTTGGAATTTATTGTGGTATCTGGTAGCATCCATCGTTCAGTTCTTCATCTGTTTTGATAAGGAAAAAATCCTGTGCTGTTGTATCCAGCTCTGTTCCTCCTGATAAATAAGCTGCATATCTTTAAAAGCCATCTATTATCCTCTGTTTGTCAGTTTTATAAACTGGAAAAGATTTGTGGGAGCAGAAAGAGAGGATTGCTGATTATCTGAACCAGTGTTAACTGTTGAAGAATGATTTCTTCTGCTGGGCCATAAGCAGTGCCCTGGAAGAGCTGCCCTCTTGGTAACCACCGCCTCAAGGGCCTGTGGCCAGCAGAGCTGCTCCTCTGCACCCACAGCTCCCTTACTCAGTCATACAGGTCACTTTAAACTGTGCCAGCTCCAGTGCTTCTGGGACATGAGTTGCCTGTGCCCCCAGACACTGAAACTAGCAGAGGTAGCTTGGCGCTGTGTCCTGCTTTCCTTCATCTCTTCCTTAGCAGACTTCCAGAAAGTGATGGGCATGGGATGCCTGCCATCCAGGCACATAAAGCTGGAGAACAATCACGGCCATCTAGAGCTGACCTACTCCAGCCTTGGCATCTGACAGTGCTTTATGAAACATACATACACACAAAAATGAGCCTGTGAAGCCATCTCAGGGCACTGCTGATCAGTGTTGTCCTGCTCTCCAAAAGGTGAGCACTCCTCTACCACTGTCTGCAATGATTGCAGGTGTTGCGCTCCCTGAATTTTCTTTTGACCTCTTATTTAATGTAGTCCTTTTTTTTACAGAAGCTTTTACAAAATCCTTTCTCGTAATTCCCTGAAAGCTCATGAGGAGGAATTATTTTCCAAACTCCAGTTTGTTGCACTGGAAGATACAAAATAGACCTGCTGGGATTAACCCAAACAACATGCACTTGGCTGAATCACAGCACTGAATTTCTCCCCTGGATATTCTGAGGCTTCTTTGAACACTTCAAATTAGCATTTCACTTAGGCTGATACCAGCAATAGGAGATGAGTGATGTTAACATTTGAAAGTTATGTGGTAAATCTAATTTTCAGGTTTGCATGCCAAAGCTTAGCATGTACTGAGGCACTTAAAACTGACATATGGATGTTGTAGCTACAATTTAAATGTGTGGTATATCTCAGCATTTCATGGCCCTGATACACAAGTCTTAGAGGTAAAACTAATGAGTAATAAGCATGATGGTACAGCTTCCTCTTTTGAATGAGTACGTATTTGTACTTACTCAAATAGCACCTCACAAACTGTGATTATGGTCAGTCAGCATGTGAAAAAGAATTGGTTTGGTAAAGGAATTTTAAGTTTTCACCTCAAATTTTACTGTGAGGCTGTAGGCAGACTCAAGCATGTCCAGAGGATACTCTCATCTCCAAGGATCAGTATGTAGTCCTAAAGGGGGTGTGAGAGCAGGACCTGTGTGGTTTAGCAGCAGTCAGCTGAAGTGGCACAGTGATGTCCTACCAAATTCATGAGGATTCAAAATGGGCAGAAGCAGTTTTATTAAACAGCTTAATTTGTTCTATGAAATTTGTAGATGATGGATCTTCATGGGAATGTCTCAAGGAAAAGCGCTAGATTAAGTTGCATTTTATAAGCTCTGACACAAGGCCAGGGAATGCAGTTCTGGAGCACTATTGGTCCAGTGTATTTGCATAGACGTCCAAAATAATTTACCAGGGATTCTGCAGTCCTCATTTTGCTGGCTGTTGGGAGACTTACTGTATACCAGTCATAATGCATCAAATTAATCAGATCATTGATACTTAGCAAACAAAAAGCATAGCAATCAGGAGGTAACCTGAACCTCTCTCCCCTCCCAGAATAGGCTGCCTGTAAGTGAAAATTCCACAGTTCTGTGATTCTTTTTAACAAAGGCAACGGGGGTAAGTACCTATAAATCCAAACTATACACTGTTTTTTCATGAAAGAACTGTAATGAATGTGACTCAAGTTACAGAGTTAGTTGCAAGCAGACCCACAATGGAAAACATATGCCAGGTTACACGTGTGAAGGATCCCAGCAGGCGATAACCACTGGGCTATAAGCTGTGTGCAGGACAGTTCTGCGCCGTGGTGGATTTACTGTGGTAAACTCCCCTGGTTCAACCCATTAAACCAGAAAGTACTAAAGGAACAAAAAGATTCCTGATCTGAGCCCACAGGAATGGAAAGTACAAGAGATTTTATCAATGAGCTGCCTCCTGCTAGACGTGACCCATAGCACTCATTAAACCAAATTATGTAAATTTTTTCTCATAAAAAGGGAATTTCCTTAAAATATTCCCATTTTCAGGCTACATCCTAGCTCTTCACATGAAGAAGTAACACTAATTATGCATTGTTTGTTACAAGTAGTTTGTTCATGCCATATGAAAGAAATGGATTGAATGGTCACCTTGGGTAAAGCGCTTCTTAGCACTAGTATTTTTGGAACAAAGGTATAATTAGAGTTTAGATTAAAGTCTGACTCTTCTGACAACCATGGAAGAACTTCCTGCAAGAAAGCAAATAACATGTAACAAAACCACCCTCTTCCC